GGCTCACTAGGGTATAGATCAGATTCTTTTATACCTTAAAGGCACAAAGCTGTAGAAATTTGTGTACTGTCCAGTCCACTTGCGTTTCCTATACACGTGACGTTACGTCGCACCTCCATCAAGACTTCTCAGAACAACGTTTAGGAAATGAAGGAGGTTATTTTCCTTCACTTCGTACGTAAACTTTATTGCTGCGTGGCACTGGTTGAAGGCGTTTGTTCACTCCTCAATACTTCACGGGGCTTGAACTAAAACAAAGATGTCATCCACATACCGGCAATATAGACAGGTCCATATATATATATATATATATATATATATATATATATATATATATATGTGTGTGTGTGTGTATATAATAGCGGAATAAATAGGTTGAAGGCAGCTGCAACAACATTGGAGATGCTATTAATAATTAACACAACTCAGAACGATTCAAGTTCGGGTTTCGACTTGCTGCTGATCCAAGATACATCGCTTTCGATGAGCAATGACACCTTCCGGTCCCCAATGTTTTCATACCCCTCGTCGGCCAGATGGGACCACTTGCTCGCCTCTTGTCGTATCGCGTTTGCAGACGACTGTATGCGTAAGGTAGGAACGGAGAAAGCTCGGTCCACTTCAATACTTACCGAGCCGTCCGATGATCATACTTGAAGCTTAATTATCTACTCTGTGATATTCTGCCCCCCGTTAACAGGAATGATTGCAAGCGAGGACGGTTTGGACATCAAGCCAAGGCGTTTGACCAACTCCTCAGTAACTAGGGTGGTGTCAGAACCACTGTCAAGGAAGGCATAGACACTAGCAACGCCAGCAGGACCGGGACTACGCCTAGGGGGACGCAAGGCACAGTGTGAGTCGTTACGCAACGATCGCTCTTATGACTCTCCGGGAAAACAGACGACCCACCAGAGCTATGAAGAAGCGCGCACGAGATGCTGCGTACTTCGTCAGCTCAGAAATGTGGGCTCCTACCCATCAAGCATCAGACGATCGACGACTTCCGCCCACTTGGGCTGCATGGATCTCGGCAGTGCTCGCATTGTTTCCTCGAGTGTACTCAAGGAATTCATGTCAACTGTGTAGTTCATTCCTGTTAGGGCGATGTGGCAGTTTTCCATTTAAATTTACCAATTCAGATAGCGCCTTGGTATTATTAGGAACTACTTTCGCTTCGTTCAGTATGTCTTCTAACGATGAGTGTTCAATGACGTGAGGTTGACCAAATAAATCCTTCAAAATCTTTCGGGCCCTCTCTCGGAGGCATCATTACTCATTCACTGATGGCCTGTCTCGCGCTCCCTCTACAGTAATGTATGAGGTGTAGAAGGCACCTCTTAGGGTGTTCTACCTTATTTTCGACAGAGAACTCAAACTGCTTCACAAATTTCTAGTAATCTGCCCAACGCCCGTCAAATTGCGTTAGCTGGACACTGGGGAGCTCTCTTTCTAAAAGGAGTGGTCTTACGGCAGATGTCACTGCTGCAGTCACGGCAGCTACTTGGTAACTCGGCCTACTATCTGTCTCTATCGTTGGGTTCGTCTTAACCGCAGCTACGCAGTCGTCAATTTAAATATCAATCTGTGCCAAATTACCCCTCGACAAATCAGGCATGGATAATCTCTCGTGGGGTTCCCATTCTAAAACGACCTCAAGCCTAGCAATCCCCACTGTCTGGCTTTCTATGAGCAATTCGCGGTGCTACCTAAGGTCAATCTTTTTAACTTCTAGTTCCAACTCAGTTTTAATCTCCTTCTGCTTCAACTCCGCTATCAACAACTGTGCGCTCGTCTTACTGCTAGCAGACTTATTGCTAACATCAGGGCCAGCGTGGGAAACCGCATCAACAGTGACTTGCCTCGATTGTTCCATCCCTTCTGCAGACTTCGTCCCCCGAGTGATTGGCATTGCAAGGAGTTCTGCGAATTCGGCACCTTCGGATTGAGTATTGGTAATTGAGCGCCTCCGAATTGAAAACCTCTCAAGTTGAGTAATGTAGCGTCCATTGATTGAACGTTGAGTGACACGTAGCCGGTGATCCCGAAATCCAAACGTAGTTGGATCGCAACAATTACGGTCCTGTTGAATCACATCCATGTACATAAATCGGACAAACCTCAATTGTTCTGAGTCCCGGTGTCTGCGGCACCGACAATTGCACTTCTACAGATGGGCAGGAAAACGATGTCACAACGGCTCAACACAGACAACCATGGCAAGTGCAATCACCCGAAGAATTGTGAACTATCAGTATGCCGCTGGTCAATCATGAACGGCCCAATCACGGGGATGGAGAATGAAATTAACACACATACAAGACGGTAACAGACCAGTTGCATCAGGCATTATTACAATCCATGCAGATCAGATGAGGTCATTTTTGACTAATGTACAAGGGAATGTATACGTCAACGCTTGATAAACGACGGCACGAAGGTATGAGTGTAGGTAGCGGCTAACAATGTAAGCACACGCAGTGGAGGAGAGTCGGAATAACTTCGGGTTGTCTGAGGACACGGACAACGTGCGGGTGGTCCTCGCAGTGGGGAAGGAAGCTCATGGAGCGGAACGGAAATTCCGATGTACGTGGTGACCAAGGGCATATCTCTGTGGAATTTTCCAATCGATGCCAAGCTCCGCTGCAATATATATATATATATATATATATATATATATATATATATATGAACACCGGTGTCATGGTTCCAATCCGCGGATTGCCCCTCTGGAGAACGAGCTATTACTTGGATACCAAACGACGAACCGCACCGTCGTTATTCTTTTAGCTCCTGCACTCCGATATTACTACTTAGTACAAACTCTAAGAGTCATATGACGCAGTGGTCAGATTGCTCTTGGTGCTATTATTACGTGAGATGGAGAGCCACTTGATTTTCGCTTTCAAATTCTCGCAGTGGGATAGTAGTGCCCTGCGGGCAATTGGAAGCACACGCTTTCTTTCTTTATACTTTTGTAGTACAAACGGAACTTAATCGCGCTAACGCAATTTGTAGACAGCTTGATGGAAAGGAAAAGGAACTGCATCCTCAGGACGCTGCAAACTAATGGTCACCTCGATTGATGAATTCGGAGGCGCTGTGATATGTGACAGACGGTTGTACAGTCCGGATAAATTTCTCCGGATAACTGTATTGTCTATTTTAAGACCTAATATTCTTATTCTCAAACCCTTCTACTAATCCCACATGTACGATATGAAAATTTGCCTTACTGAATATGTAGCCTTTATTGTTCGCTCCGCTAACACATATATGGCTCTTGAAGGCCGATTAGCGTACTATTACGCAATTATCTTTGTGCAATCTGACAGGCTGTCCAAAGTTTTACTGTGTCTACTTTTTCTCATTACGATTGAAAACATACTCGTAAGTTGTTCACTTATATTATAGAACCACAGTTTCAAGAAGTTGCGTTTTCTTGCTCCTGCTCAATGTGCACAATGTTTATATTCACTAGTCTACAATGTTCCGTTTACTTTTCGTACAACATATAGTTAGTGCAACATTGCCCGAAAGCGGCTTTACCTCTCATTTCGTTTTGAGGTTGGATTTTCTCTTCAAATGCAGTATCGGTAGTCGTCCCAAGCTGCGTACAAGCGTTTTTTTGACAAAACTGCCCTTTTTATTATAAGGCATCTCAAGAATGGACTTCCGATTTAGTCGGAATCCTTTCTTTTACCTTTATAATCCCACTTGTGGTGTAAAATACCTCGGACATTCCATCAGATGCTTAGCGAGACGAATAGTTGAACATTGATCAGCAGCTTTGTGGATATAATTTTTTCGAACTATCAGCTTGTCTAGCTCAAAATGTACATCACGCTTTGGCTGCAGACGCTTTCTAAATTTTCTACATTGTGCCACAGCCGTCCTCAATTTCACTTCGAAGACGCCTATCATTGATGGCAGATACCGTTTCGATCATACTAATACAGACTTAACTGTGCAAGCCCTCTTCCTATACTGGCCCTAAGTTGCGCCCGATCGTCCAGTACCTTGATCGCGGGCGGTGACGTAGTTTGCCCCGTCACATCATCGACCTGACTGACTGTCGTGCATTGTGTGCGTTTCCTATGTAAGCCTATTGAAATATTTTAGCCAGTTTTGTTTATGTGATGGCTTGATGACATTCGTCGAAATGAACTTTTTACTCCGGATTGAAAATGCGAAACTACTATCAAAAACGGTATCGGCGTGGGTCCCACATCTTGTTTTCTTCAAGGAACGCGACCCCTTCGTTGGTCACCAGTCTAAATCCAGTAGACCGACAGCTCAGCACAGGAGCATGAACTCCACAATTTTATGCTCCGCTTCTCCATTACATGATAGGCTACAAAGAAGTTACTGGAGATATATGGCCACCCGAAAACTGTGCAACAGTGAGGACATACCTCGTCCATTTTGGCTGACATTTTATTGGAGCGGGTGGCCAGCAACTGCAGATAGAACACTTGCACAGTGTCCATGAATTCGGGCCATTGGGAAGCAAGAAGCGAGGGATTTACTCGCACTAGGCAACCAGGTTGGTCGGAGAGACGAGCAAGACTGTTAATGGGACACGGTTAGAACAGGACCTGCTATTGGTCGCACAAGTAATGAAATCACATCTACGCACCTGTACCGATTTTACTTTCTACTTGGTATCGTTCCGTGGGTAACCCACTCTCCTTTATGCACTTTGCGTCACAAGGGCGCAATGGAATGTTGGGACTTCGTCTCACGCGCAAATTTGACATCAAGCCTTTGTTACTAGCAGATCGCTCGCGCATTGCTCTTTTCGTTCTACACCTTCACATTACGAAATGTGTATTGAATATGGTTAGTATTTCATGTTACGGATCCTCTAAGTTGTTGATCATTATCATGACCTGCGTGTGTCGCAACATATGTACAACCTTTTAATACCTGTTCCGATTCTGCACCTTTCACTCTATGTGACTCATTTGTAATTGTTCGCTTTCTCACTTTCACTCCAGAACGACGCCCCCACACGTGCGAGCGCTGTGGCAAATCGTTTTCCGAGAAGTGCGCTTTACAGAGGCACATCGGCTCTGTACATTTGGGTAAGTCTTTCCTTTAATGCGCCACTTCTATTTGCATTCACCACTTGTGTTGCGCCATGTTCTGTGGTTTGACTTGCTTTCATCAGAATCAGCGTTTGGTTTTTTTTACCGTGAAACTACGTATTAGTGTGCCGAAGTTGCTACTTCTCATACCAGCCAGCTTAACTTGGAGAGAATGCGCGTCCTATATCCTTTGGTTTTTGTGACTAGCCTCTGGTGGGTAGGTTGTCTATGCGGGGTCAATTTACTTCATTCATTTCTCTAGGGATCGGTTTGCTTATCTGTTACCTCAGCTAAAGCCAATCAGGCTCCTATTTTTTACTGGCTCGACAGACTTACTCTCATTGTTACGAGGAGCCTGCTGTTTGCTGTTCTCATTCCGTCGCAGGTTGAGCACGCGGGGCGGCACAACAGTCTCTGAAATTTTTCGGAAACGATTTCTTGATTTATTTAATCTAGATCACTCAGATAAATTATGGCATTGTATCTGTTCCTTTACCTATCATTGTTGCATGTGTTCAGATTCTCCTGTTTGAAATTCGAAGTCGAACTCCCTGCTTCATTCTGGAGAGATCAAAGCTGTGATAAAGCCGGTCTTTCTGTATGGATCAGGGATGGTAAACGCTTGTCCGTGTTGGACCACCGGTGTTTGCGGAGTATTTCGCACTTCTGGTTGATACACCGAGGTCCGCCGGTTGTTTTTCTTAAAAAGAAACCTTCTGGTTCTTCATTCGAGTGTTTTCTGAATCTTAATCACTTACATTGGCTAGGCCGTGCGCTCTAAATGTCGGTTGACCGGCTTCCTCAGCGTGCATTATGCTCCGGTGCTGCACCAAGTTTGGCGAAACAGCGAAGTGGCCACTCCATCACGTGACATGGAGGCATGAAGGAACTGACTGCGAGATTCGGTCAGGCTGGTGCGAGCCCTCTTCGTCGTTTGGGGTCTCCGGACGGTCCACACCAATTGTTGTAGACCGTATCATATATGGATCAGCCATGCAGTCGGTGGCGTTCCTGCATTCGTTTTTTTGCATCTGGTTGTTTTCATTCTGTTCTGATCAATTTAATTCATTTCCTTTCTGCCTCCATTTTCTCGACATTCTATTTGCATCTGATCCTACTATTTTCCCAGTGTTGTTTATTGTTTTTCTTGCGATGTGAGTTGTGGCAACTTGATCCACGGGACTTCAGTGTTCGGATCATAGTTGTCCGACTGAACAAAAGTAATGAGTTCTCGTAATAATCATTGTCACTGAGGGGAGCCCAGTTGGTGTCTGTGGAACTCGAGACGGCAGATAACAGCAGTGACAGTAAGGCGGAGTCTTCGCGTTTCGAGTGGACTGCGCAGCTTGTGACCGTATTGCGACTTGCATCGTCTCTGCCGAAGTCGGAAGTCTGAACTACGTTGCTAAGGGTGTGCATCAGTTGCTCGCCAACTTTGACGACACTAAGTCTGTTGGTCTGATGAGCTTAATCTGCTGATTCACAAGACATGACCGGCCATGATCTCTCCTGTCGTGACTGACCTGTTCAACAGATCACTGTCCGATGGTTCATTGTTATTTGTTTGAGTGTGCCGGTGGCGAATTCCGATAGGGAGCGGACAACGGCCGGCCGAGGTGTTTGCCACGTATTTGGGCAAGGTAGCCGCGATTGCTACAGATACTCAAGTCTCTTGCCCATCAAGGGACCCTGCCGCTCCTCCACCAATGTCACTTCTCCGCTTCAAAGTGTTCATGTGATCCATTCTTGCACTGTCAACCAAATCAAATACAAGCACACATGTAGCGTTACATTAAAGACTTTATTCAACATGTCTGCCTAAACCTACCTACCATATGCACGTAAACCCAGTTTGCAACTAGTTAACTTGTTACACTTTCCAATTTTTTGTACTATCGCGATCTTGCATATGCAAACATATCTCGCACTATCGGGAATTACCAATTTCTTTTTATTTATTTTGTAGCTAGTTCTTTTACACATACCTTTGATCACATCTCGACGGAGTGGTGCAGGGTTATCTTCTGCTTGCTCCCGTAATACGGTGCTCAGTGTTGTTTATGTGATATTGCCGTCCCACAAGAGCAATCTTTCGCACAAAAGCGATAGTCTGAAACTGGCAATCGTTTCAAATCTTTTGACACACCATAAGCTACCTCCTCTAATATGGCACCTGTGGAGTATCTGGCAAATCGACAACTCCAATGACTCAGTTTAATGTGAGTTTAACAATGCGTGGAATTTCCTCTCCAACACCATCTGCCCTGCAACTCACTGGATAAGCAAATCTATTAACTTACTCAAATTATTCGCCTACTTCAGTGAATGCAGGCACAGGTACTAGCAATTTCCGAAGCAGGACATTGTCCTTATGTCGGTTAGACTTCGGACCATATATTGTTTCCTTTATACGTAAGAGGTTCAAAAGTGTTTTCCATAGTCTGCAAATCACCCAAAAATGGCGTTGTCATCTGAATAATTAAAGTCCACGACCTTTTCTCTTGGGAGAAGCTGTACGTCACGGGTCTCTGCATCTTTCATCGCTGGGTGGAGTACATCCACAATGGCAATGCTTAATGGATGTGGTGAGCTAAGACAACGTTGACGTACAGTGCTGTTGAAAGCAGGCGAAGAAAACATCCCAGCCGGCTATAACTTTACCGATCATGTGACGATACATTTCCCACTAAATTACGACAAACTTGTCATGTAAATCGGTCATGCATGCCATTTCACCGAGCATTTTTGTGTAATGAATTGAGAGCGGCTTGAATATCCGAGAACATCGTGATTGTTGTTTACCAGTGGATGTGACGGTGTTTGAGAATCTGGCCGGAGTGAAGATACATTGAATGTGACTCCTTTTAGACGGATGCTCCCATACGGCTGTTAGTGACTGAAGCGAGATGAACACCTATATGCCTACGGAATTTCAGAATAGTTGGCGCACTCCTAATTGGAGTAATTGTTATGTGGTAGGCAACTGTGCGCTAACTAACCGCACCGGGTAGTGGTTATTCCTTTTCCATTACTTCAAGGCTCATATTTTCGTGCTCCCGAGCTGTGATCCAAGTAACTTCTGGTATCGGTCTGGCTAGGGTGCTTTTCTACCGGGACACCGGCATCTAGATCCGTTCTGTCGTCATCAGCACGAATTAGGATCGATCGTTCCTAATTGGACAGTTGAACGAACAGGGAAATTCGTGCTGATGCTCTGATATTTTAATATCTCAGCTCTTCAACCGGGAACCTCACTTTCATTAACCGCCCGTCTCCTTGCGCTGCCGGGAGTTTGTTTGACACCTAGTTTAGGGCGTAGACACGCGTACACTTGGGTACCGAGCAGTAGACTAGTTGACTTACAGTCGCTGCTTTGATGTAATGCGGGTTTGTTTACCGCTTCATACGTGCATTGGTCAATTCGAGTTAACCTGGGAGTTTTAGACAGATATTCACCCTGTCGTTAACGGTTTAACGTCGAAACCTCATGAAATAGTTCATTCCTTGATTTTGTTCATGACTGTGAATGACCTGTTTTTTGTTTCAGAGCAGAAAGCACACCCTTGCGAATACTGTGAGAAATCATTTTCCGTAATTTGGGACTTTCGGACAGACGTAGAAGCTGTTCACTTGAGTAGGTTCCACACCGTCCGTCTATCATTTATTCTAATACCACACCCTGTATGTACGGCTTTGTATCCAATGTTGTTTGTACTTAACAGCAACTCATTGTTAATTTCATGGGTTTGTTGCATTTGATGAGAAGCGCAGGGGATAGCGATGGCCAGCCCTTTTCGGTGTCCAGTTTAATCTTGCAGCCACAGGCTACTGAGTTGTGGAAGTCAGTTGACTATTCTGTGGTGATGCGAGATGAGACAGGGCATAATGCAGTTATCTATGGTTTCCTCCTGGCCTCAGTAGCAGCGGGGTTGTTGAATCGTGACTTCTAACGCTGCTGAGATTCTCGTGCTTCACCTACCTTGCGGGCACATATTGTCTACCTGTGCAGGTTGATTGCGAATGGCAATTCAGTGTATACGACATCCGATGGCAAACTCGGGAGCGTTTCTTCACTCCTGTTGTCTTATGTTTTCCAGGCTCTTTCGTGGATCATTTTTACCGTTAATACTCCAATTTTTATGACGGAATCCATTCGATGCGATGAGACGGCTATTTCGTCCTGCGTCATAAACATGACACCGAGGACGCTCATTGCTCCCACGGTGTTTGCCAGATGTAAGCGAGGCTGCGAAGGCCTCGTTGGTCGAACGCAACTGGGTTCTTCATGATTGTCGATTTTATTAGCTAAGTTTCATAACCGTACAGTATGTTTGTATTGTACACTATATCGTGGAGGGAGTGATGTCACAGCTACGTCACATGTGGCGTATAATGGCATCTCGGTTCGAGCTTTGGTTGTACTCTTCATCATCTCCTCTCTCTCAGCCTTCGCTAAACTTCTGCCTTTTTTGTTGAATCTGATCGACTTTTGGCTTACTTGTGGTCGCCTATATTGATGGCGGGGCTGCGGCGATTTATGTTATGTGTAGGTGTGGTAATGCAACCTCTTTTTCGACTAAACCCAATGTGTTCTTCAGGAGTCTGATTTTCTCGTTTACCAGCCAGAGGCAAGTAACTTAGTGGCGATGGCGACCACACTGACAACTTTATGACCGTCGCATTTCGAACTTGAGACGCACTTGTTGATCTGGACTGTAACGGAGCTGCTTTAGTCAGGTGCGACGGTTTCACTAATGAATCATGTAATCCGTTAACAGGAGAAAGTGCTGAATTTGAAGAGATCCGGAGAATGATCATATGGTCCAGTGGCCTTATTCATTTTCACCTGTTCAATCTAACGATCAGCTTCTGAGCGAGTTGGCAGATAAAATGAATTGCTCAGGAAGCGGGAGTATCCTGACTGGCGATAATACTGACAATTCTGGTCGATTAAACTACTTTTCACAGTGGCCACATCTTGACAGCTTGTGCATAGACTTTCCACACACAAATTTTCCTGCTGCGTAATTTTTGTACCTGGCTAGTTGTAAAGTTTGTTTCCACCTGCAACGAAAATGAGTCTACCAGAATTGGTGGTCTCTTTCAAGGCTAGCAAGCAATGTTACCCTGAAATCTTTGTTATTCTGGTTGAGATCACTACCTGGCGGAACGTGTCGACCAGCATTTAGGACTTCTAGTTACTTCGTAAAGACCCAATGACCAAGTTTGCACTGAGATGTACTGCCCATGCCAGCGTTCTTTGATACACGTTCAGAACACCTGGCTAAGCCTAGCCGGTTGATGAATGCCTATGTGCTCACAGCCTTCGCGGACGTCCGCGGAAGTACATTTGCAGAGTAGCTCGTACAAGTGAATTATTGTAATTTACGCTTTTGTTCTAAATTGATCGACAGTTTTGGACGCAGCCTCTCCAGCAGTAAATAATCGCTATGTGATCGGTTTATGTGTGTGGCTGGTTCGCAGCTACGGGGAGCCATGTCAACTTCCTATGTTTGCTCTTTCCGACATTAGTGCTGTCGAGAGATAAAGGAGCTTCTTCGCACGGGTTTAGTGACTGCTCACCATTATCGCCTCGGATGGCTACCCGGTGTTGGTCCCCAGATGCAGCTTATCAGTGGACAGCTTTTCAATTAGCCTACACTACAGTATCCGGAATTTGTCAATGACGAAGTAGCTTGTTTATTTGGTTATAGGCGGCATCTTTTACAGAAATCGTGCAGCAGCCTTTGAGAACGTAGGTATCGACTAGAAACAAACACCTTTTGATCTCGCGCGACTTTGAATGAGCCATCCAATCTGATTGCGTACGTCCGGTTACTGGCTGGGATTCAGGTCTACTAGAGTAAATTCAACCCCAGGGACCTAGCGCCATATTATCTCCCTTCGCATAGCTCTCCACGTGCATCATACTTGGTGCATTGTTGATTTATCTGAAGTTCTGCGCAGTTTGTAGCCGGGTGCCCACTTCCTTCTCCCAGTCGTGTACACCACACAACCTTTCTTGCTTGCCTAAGTTGTCCGAAGACCCTCAAATACACCTGAGCAACCATTTAATCTACGTAGCTGGTCTGACTTCATGGTGGGATTGCGATTCTCAGCGTACCACAATGATTAGCAATTGATTTTGGAACACTTCATCTCGGTCGTCGCCTTGTCCTTGCTTCTTTTACTATAAACGTAACTTTATTTACTATTGCAGAGAAAAAGCCCCACAGATGCGAGCATTGCGATGGATGCTTTTCTCAGAGGAGTGTGCTAAGCAGACACATTGAATCAGTGCATTTAAGTGAGTATTTGTTTTAGGGTGTTAGATGTTTTCCATTATTCTAGGTGTGCTCACAGTTATTCTGCTGAATTTCATCTGACTCTCTGTACTACATGGGGCTAGGCGTTGTGTGTTTCATGTGGTCATGTTTGTGGCAAAATTGGCTTTCGTTCTCCCTCGTGCTAGCGACTTCAGAAATCTGAGCAGTTCCATGAAAGATTCAAGGCTCTACCCACTGATATTGCCACCTTACTAGATTTCGAGGCGTTTGAAACCCGATTACCAGGTTCGGAGGACGCATGTATACGTGAACGTGCTCAGAATATTTCCAGTTATTTCTAGCTGCAACCATGATTGATGTGGAAGTTTTTGCGCACTATTGGTTCTGTGGTCTGCTGATTTTCTTTGGATAGGCACACTACCGCCTGCCTTGTCACTTCGAACCAAGACATATACCGCTTTTCATTTTTAGTGCTATAGTTAACGCTCATATGAGCATGATGGGCCAGTTCCAGCATACCTGTGGAAACTTGGCTGGATCAGAGTACGATATGGTGTTGACGGCTCTCCATTTGCAGGAGAAATCCTGAGAGTGACACTAGTCATTGTACTCGCTGTATGTTGACTTCAACACTTCATTCTATACGGTGAACCGCGATGCATTGTAGGTAGTGCTGGGTACGTTTGCTTGTCCGAGTAAGTTGGTATGTTTACTTGAATGTCTGCACAGTGGTCTGCAGGCGAGGATGCGGCTGAGTACTACAATCCTCGGATGGCTTTGCTGTTGTCTCCAGTGTTAAGCAATGCTGTGTCGTAGCCCCTACTCTGGTTTACTTTCACCTCTGTTCGACCATATCCTGTGCTCTTGATACTGCTAGTGATTACGGTGTCCGTGTTTAGCACCATATTGACGGTGGGTTGCTTGACACCCGTCGTTTCGAGGCGAGAACGCTAATGTGTGAGACAACCATCTATATGTTGCTGTCTGCAGTCGACTGTGCGTTGTTTGCGCACATAGCGGATGAACTGTACCACATGACTTCGGCTTTCACTTCGACAGCGGCCAAATCCCGCCTCCCCATCAACACTAGCAAGACTGTCTGTCTTTTACAGCCTACATCAGAAATGCCATCCGTATGTTCGCCGCGAGTCCATATCGGTGATGACGCATTGGAAACCACTCCGAGATTTTTCTACCTGGGTAGTGTACTTTCGACCGATTGGCAGATGATGAGCGAGTTACCTGTCCTAGTATCGCAAGCGGCTGCTGCGTTTGGAGTGTTGTAGAGGCATGTATATACCAACCACCAGCTTACTGTTGGAACGAAGATGCTGGTATACTAATCGATTGTTCTGTCCGTTCTTTCATATGTGTACAATGTGCCAGATGGACATCAGATATCTGAAGCGATTTCGTCATGAGTGCCTGTGACGGATTCTGCATATCGGTTTGTGCGACGGCGTTGCAGACACTGAAGTGCTGCGCCACCTTGACATGTATGCAGTGGACTGCATAATTATGCTGCGGCACCTGAGGTGGCTGAGGCATGTCAGCCGGATGACGTCGACCAGGATATCCAACCAGCTTTTGTTCGTGTAACTTAGTGCAAGGAAGCGGCACTTGGAAAAATCGAGATTGCGTCGCCAAAACATGATCAAGGTGAGTTTATCGCGATCTAATGTTGATGTTTGGTGTTGGGAATCAAGTGCATCTGATCGACGCGATTGGCGGGAGCTGCTTAGGAGGGCCGTTTACTAGGTGCAGCAGAAAGCATTATTACATGCGGAGGGGAAACGGCGGGTGCGGAAGCGACAGGCACCGATGGATTCTAGGCCACGGTTCCTTAGCACAGGCTTTTGCCAGTGCCACAGCCAAGTGGGCTTGGTAATCCGCGAGCGTGGCCACGTGGGACTGGCATCCAAAAGACGACTAGTCGACTGATTATATAAGCATAATTAACACAGCCATTGGTAGGTGTGCTGTGTCCGGTTCCATACGATTTCCTAACCCAGGCAAATATGGCGCTTGATGTAGTATGTGTGCTGCATCATCGTTGCAGTTTGTCTATACCTGTGCCGGCTTGTTGCATGCAACGGTGAGGGCATGCGTCGTCCAATTGAATTGACATTTTGAGAGAGCGGTTGGCTAGCAGCTACGGGTAGAACTTGTACAGGGTATCAGAAAATCAGCCTCACTAAATACGAGAAGTGAGTAGTGGACTGACAGTTGGCAACCGGAATGGTCGGAGAGATGAGCAAGACTGCAAACGGTACGCGATTCGTACAGGACCTGCTATTGGTCGCACCAGCAATGAGATCACATCTACGCACCTGTACCAATTTTACTTTCTACTTGGTATCGTTCCGTGGGTAACCCACTCTCATTTATACACTTTGCGTCACGAGGGCACAGTGGAATGTTGGGACTTCGTCTCACGCGCAAGTCTGACATCAAGTCTTTGTTACTAGCAGATCGCTCGCGCATTGCTGTTTTCATTCTACACCTTCACATTACGAAATGTATATTGAATATGGTTAGTATTTCATGTTACGGATCCTCTAAGTTGTTGATCATTATCATGACCTGCGTGTATCGGAACATATGTACAACCTTTTAATATCTGTTCCGATTCTGCACCTCTCACTCTGTGTGACTCATCTGTAATTGCTCGCTTTCTCACTTTCACTCCAGAACGACGTCCCCATACCTGCGAGCGCTGTGGCAAATCCTTTTCCGAGAAGAATGCTTTGCGGAAGCACATCCGCTATGTACATTTGAGTGAGCATTTTTCTGATGACATCATTTAAATTAGGTTTCACCACTTGTATTCCCCGTATTCAATTTTTCTCTTGCTTTCATCGTAATCAGCATTGCTTATTTTCACGATGAACCTGATTGCTGTTGAGCAAAAGTTCCTACTTGTCATACCAGTTATTTTAAGGTGGAGTAAATTGGCTTCGTGTATCATTTTGCTTATCTGTACTAGAGGCTGCAGGAACGGTCTGGTGTGCGGGGCCAATTTAATTTACTCATTTCTATAGCAATTGGTTTGCTCAGCCGTTGTTCAGCTGAAAACCAATCACGCGCGTACTTCTAGCCAGAGAACTGACGTTTTGGCACATTCGACCTTTCACGAGTTGATCGTCGTTGTGTTGCAGTAATGGGGGGTCTGGTCCGAAGGTGGAAACTTCATCATCTGGAGTTACTGGTAGCGTTATTGCTGGGTCGAATGGACGTTGGAGCTCTCTCTGTTCACATTTTGTTGTTTCCACCACTGGCTTGCTCGTCGCAGTGTTTCAGAACGTGGTGGGTTTTCGCCTGGCAAACGTTCTCCCTATAAAAAGCCACAAATGTCTTTTTACCAACACTGCGACGTGGCGGATGTGACTCACCACTAAATAAAGTCACTGCTCGTTGTCTCCTTTGGAGACATTGTGCACCGGTAAGAAATCCGAGAAACGGATCTTGTCTCTGACTTCGGGAGTGTTGGGCCTCTGACATGGCTTATGTTCATCCGAAAGGCATATGAACTGAGTGTTCAGTCACCGGCTCCCAACGGGTGCGAATCCCTCATCTCGCCCTGCTGTCTTGTGGGTTAGGCCCTTTGGTCAAAGGCTCGGGGCGGTGGTCCTTTAAGTTAACCTACCTACCTCGGCCTATGCAACGGAGTAGTATCTCGCCTACTGACAAACCATGGACTACAACTATTCACACGCTCTCTTGCTGCAACGATACTATTCACTGACGTTACTTTGCCAACTTTCCAAGCACACGCCACCATTTTACCTACCCTTCCCCTATACTATTCATACCCATTTTTACCTGAATCCTCTATGACGATCAACCCCACCTACACCGATGAACCGGATCCCATGACATCTGCCAACTCAAGCACAGTGCTCAGTAGGGAGCTGCCAGTCCCAAAGTCCCACATCTTCACTCCTGCAACCCGGAACGCAGTTCAAGCTTGTAGCTTTTAACCTACGCACATTACTGCAGATCGGTCAACAAGCTGGAGTTGCACGCACCCTAGAGACCCTTGGAATTGATATCTACTGCCTGAATGAAACGTGATTCCAGGACTCTAACTCAGTCTACCAGCGGGCGTCACCGCTCCACATACGCACCCGCTTCCATCTGCGCCTCTCTGGTGACGCCGAGTCTGCCGCATCTGGGCAAGCTGGTGTTGGAATCGCCCTCAGTGCTAGGGCCCAGACTGCTCTGATTACTTGGATTCCGATCAATAGTCCCTCTTGTGCGATGAGGCTCCATGGCTCTTGTAAACTTAGCAGAGGTCGAGTTGAAAAGCGTGATCTCTACGTACGCGCCCACTGACCGTAGCTTGGACACAGTCAAAGTTCAGAGTTCTACCAGAACCTACATGAACCGCTGCCAAGGGCTCCTAAAGCAGACATCATAGTTTTGGCAGGAGACTTGAACGCGCGTGCTGGTCAGTCGGCTGCTACCATGTGAGCGCCGCCTCGGGGGACCGCATGGATCTGATGATGTTCGCACAAACAACGGGGAGAGATTGCTCGATCTGTGTGCTTATTACCAGCTTTTCCTGTCCGGCGCGAGCTGTCGTCATCCTTGACGCCAATACGCCACTTGGCGCCACCCATCACCAAGCCAGCGCTGGTCACAGCTTGACCACATAGCCATAAATCGCAGTTGGCGCGGCAGCGTACGCGATGGTTGGTCATTTTGGTCCACATGCGTCGATACCGATCACGCACTGATATGTGCGACCGTCTGCATACGTTTCGGTGGTTCACCTAGCTCCAAACACAGCCGACTGAACACGTACAAGTTGGAGAACCCAATGGTGAAGAAGGATTATCAACAAAAGCTTCGTGGAAATCTCGTTCTCTCCCACTCTGGATGTTGATGAACACTGGTCAAGTCTGCAACAAGCCATGCTGTCGGCCGGTTTGTGCAGCTGTGGCCTCGTTCGCTCCACTCCCAAAAGCTGGATCTCGAGAAGATCCTCGCAATTGCTGGATCGCCTACTGACGGTGCCTGCTGGCGCAGAGTACAACGAACACCCCCTTCGCGAATCTTGGTGGTCAAAACAAGCTGATGAGGTGGAGGCCGCTGCATTAGCTGGCAACTTCCGCCGTCTATTTTGCATTTTCAGGGCCACCGGTTGTAATTCCCACGCTATCAGCCGGAGGATTTGCGAATCAGACGGCACGAAGACCACCAACGTTCACGGGCGACTGGTTGGCTGGGCAGAGCATTTCGCTCTTCAATTCAACCACCCAACACTACCCCCTATGGCACCTCCAACCCCATTGGATAATATTTGGCCTGTCTCCACAGCCCCACCAAATGAAGCAGCGATCCGAGGTGCAATCCAATCTCTGAAACTTTGCAAGGCTCCTGGTCCCGACAGCCTGCCACCGGCTCTATTCAAAGATGGCGGGAGTGTACTTATCAGCGAAATCCTATCGCTGTTCACGTAAGTTTGGACTGAGGAGAAGGTTCTGAACTCATGGGGAGAATCGGTCATTGTTCCGATTCACAAGAAAGGCTCCCGCGACGATTGCTGTAACTACCGCGGAATCTTGTTAATCTCTGTCGCATCCACAATCTTCGTATCGGTTCTAATTGGCAGGCTTTCAACGACTAGAGGAGTTTTCCCGAGAAGAACAAGCCGGATTTCGTCCATGCCGCGGCTGCATCGACCAAATCTTCACGCTTCGCCAACTTCTCGAACTCCGTCACATCCACCGGCGGCGAACAATCGTGGTGTTTGGACATCCGAGCGGCATTTGATTCAGTAGATAGACTTGCGTTGTGGAACTGTTTACTGAGGAAAGGTGTGCCCGACAAAATTGTAACCATCTTGAAAGAATTTTACGGCCACACGTCGGGCAAAGTGAGGGCTTACGGCACGCGCTCTTCTTCGTTTGCTGTGTCCAGCAGTGTTCGCCTAGGTTGCCCTATTTCACCTTTCCTTTTCGATATTGCCATCGAAGATGTCGTCCAAAGAGCACTGGAAGGTGTCCAGAACTGCGGTGTTGAGCTCCCCCTGGAGACTGAGTCACGGACCTGGACTATGCCAATGATATGGCCGTGCTTGGGAGGTCGACCCGCAAACCGTCCAGATTGTTTTGAACCGTTTAGCGATGGAGGCGTCTAAGTGCGGGTTATGCTTCTCCCTGTGGAAAATGTAAAACGCTGCTCTAGGACTGGCTGGTTCCTGAACTTGCGGTTACCATTGCTGGACATGTTCTGGAGCAAGTCCCTTGCTTTACTTATCTAGGGAGTTGCATCACGGCTGGTGGCGGTTTTGGAGATAAAGTCTCACAACGGATTGCAAAGGCTTGCATTGCGTTCATCGAACTGAGACACCTATGGCGTCGTCGTGATGTCGATCTTATGCTCAAGGGCAGGGCGTACAATGCTTCCGTCTGTGCCTTACTCTTATACGTCTGCGAGACGGCCTATTCGCTCGGAAGACATGGAGCGGCTGTCGGTCTTCGACAATCGCTGTCTACGAAGGATTGGTCCGATTTGGTGACAACATCCCATAAGCAACACACAGGTCCGAAACAGAGTACTTGGAGCGAGTAGTGTCAGTCTTCCGAACGTTATTCTCCGACATCGCATGCGTTGGCTCGGGCACGTTTTGCACATGCCAGCCCATCGCCTTTCACATCGAGCGCTATTTGCACTCTTAGGGAGCGATTGGAATAAGTGCCGACGAGGAAAATCAGCTAGTAGCGGAGCCACGAAGACTTACTGTATTTTCCGGACTATAAGGTGCACTTGAAATCCTTATATTTGCCAGTATCTGCAGTGCGCCTTATATCCTGGTGCACTTTATGTATGAATGCTTGTGCTGAGGCCTAGCAACCTCGAATCATTTTCTCTGTTCTCACTGCGCCGAAAAATCTGACTTTGATTGTCGAAGCGTAATCGCTGGTCAGGAACCTCGTAGAGCTAGCTTACTATGTTGTCTAGACAGACTTGTTTTGCGCGTGACGAAATCTTTGCAGGAGCCAACTGATTCGAGCTTTCCTGGCGACGATAAACCGACCAACTATTCTATCATCCATGCTGGTATCCCATACTGTGATATATGTGATAGTTACTCCACCCGGCAAACTCGCTTGCCAGGCTATTGGCCAGAATCTACCACCCATGCTCATGTTTATGAGGAAGACTACCAAAGGAAAGGTTTTTTGTTGGGGTCATCGTCAAGGTCGACCCAAAATCTGGGTGGACGAGGAAATACTGGGCGAGTGTCTGAGGGAAGTTTACCTCAGGAGACCTGATGGCTTTTCCACACATCTCTATGTGCACCCATCTCACCGAAACTGTCAAACGCCAAGTGAAGAAAACTAATTCGGAGCTTGCTATCATTCCGGGATGATTAACCAAAGAACTCCAACCGCTAGATATTTGTGTCAACCGGGCGTTCAAAGTTAAATCGCGAGCCGCGTGGGAGCATTGGGTGACACCAAGTGTGCACACATTTACCAAGACAAGGAGGCAACGCCGGGCTAGTTACGCCAGTATCTGCCAATGCATCATCGATGCCTGGGCCAAGGTATCGGTCACAACTCTCGTCCGAGCTTTCACGAAGGTCGAAATCATCAATGAACAGCCAAACAACAACGATGAGACTGACTCAGATGATGAGGAGAGGGATCCGGGTTTGCCTGATGCCGTTTTCGCCCAACTGTTACACTCCGACACTGTCGATGAAGCATTTGAGGGATGTGTAGAAGAGGAATGGTTGAAAAAGTGAGTATATTTTTCTGTGTTTT